CCTCCTCCTCCTCCTCCTCCTCCTGCTCCTCATCCTCCTCTTCCTTCTCATCTTCCGACTCATCGTCGTCGTCGTAATCATCATCATAATCATCATCATCATCATCATCATCATCAGCAGCATCATCCTCCTCCTCCTCCTCCTCCACCTCCTCCTCCTCCTCCTCCTCCTCCTCATCATCATCATCATCATCATCATCATCATCATCGTCATCATCATCAGCATCATCAGCATCATCATCATTATCATCATCATCATCAGCCGCATCATCATCATCATCAGCATCATCATCAGCATCATCATCAACAGCATCATCAGCGTAATCGTCGCCATCGTTATCATCAGCAGCAGCATCATCATCATCATCATCACCAGCATCATGATCATAATCAGCATCATCAGCATCAGCATCATCAGCATCAGCATCATCATCAATACCAGCAGCATCATCATCACCATCATGCATCTGATCCTCATCCTCATCCTCATCCTCATCCTCATCCTCATCACCACCATCATCACCACCATCATCATCATCATCGTCAGCGTCAGCATCATCGTCATCAGCATAAGCATTAACATCATCATCATTGTCATCGCCGTCATCAGCATCGTCATCATCAACGTCGTGGTCGCCGTTATCGCCGTCGTCGACAGCCTGATCATCATCATCATCATCATCATCATCATCATCATCATCATCATCATAATCATCATCATCATCATCATCATCTTCATCATCATCATCATCATCATCGTCATCATCATCGTCAGCATCATCGCAATCATCACCAGCATCAGCATCATCATCGGCATCATCAGCATCTTCATCATTATCATTATCATCGTCGACAGCATCGTCATCAGAATCATCGTCATCATTGCCATCAGAATCACCAATACAAACAAAAACAAAAATCATTATCATCGTCGTCATCATCAGCCGCAGCATCATCATCATCATCACCACCATCGTCGTCATCATGATGATCATCACCACCATCACCTTCGCCATCGTCAACGTCATCATCACCATCGTCATCGTCATCGATATCGTCTTTGCCTCCACCATCATCAACACCACCATCCATCAGCATCCTCGTGCTCGTCCTCCTCCTCATCATCACCACCGCCATCATCATCATGCTGTTCGTCCCACCCGTCAGCAAGAATAATCCTCCTCCTCCTCCTCACCCTCATCCCTTCATAGTCATCATCACCATCATCAGCAGCATGATCGTCACCGTCATCTTCAGCATATCGGAATCATGATCATCGTAATCATCAGCAGCAGCATTGTCATCATCGTCATCATCATCAACATCGTAATCGTCATCATCATCATCCTCGTCAGCATCATCGTCATCATCATCAGCCTCATAATCATCATCATCATCATCATCATCATCATCATAATCATCATCATCATCATCATCATCATCATCATCATCATCATCATCATCATCTCATCATCATCATCATCATCATCATCATCATCATCGTCATCAGCATCAGCATCATCATCATCATCATCATCATCATCATCATCATCATCATCATCATCGCCAGCACCATCATCACATGTATTAAAAGTATCATCATCTTCATCATCATCGTCAGCATCATCGTGATCATTACCAGCATCTGCGTCATCAGCAACATCATTGTCATCATCAACATCATCATCACAATCAAAATCATCATAATATCATCCGGTGCATCAGCATTATCGTCAGCTTCATCGTCATCATCATAGTTATCGTCATGCTCATCATCAGCAGCAGCATCTTCCTGATCAGCATCATCCTCATCATCATCATCACCATCATCATCATCAGCATCATCATCATCTGTATCTTCATCCGCTCATCCGTATCCTCGTCGTCGGCACCCTCATCGATTTGAGCAGCTGCCACCGACAATGCTAGGCTGGCACGGTGGCAGGACTTGCCGCGGGCAGCTGGATAAGTGCCTTCGACCGGAGCCTGTCTCCCGCGACCCACTCATCCATGCCCTCATGGCCCGCGAACGACACCTTGACCGGAGCTTTGGCCTTCGCCTTGGCCTTCGAGACCGAGAGCACCTCGGCAGCATACCACTTGCCTTCGAACTCTGCCTGCACCCGCATCCCTGGCTCGAGGCCAGAGTAGTCGAAGAGCTTCGTGGCAGTGGCAGCCGCGGGCACCGAGGCCTTCTCCGCCGGCGCCGCCTTGCCCTTGGCCGCGGCCTTGGGCGCCTCGGCCCCGACGGACTTCAGCGCCTTCGAGCGGATCCTGTCTCCAGAGACCCACTCGTCGAATCCTTCGTGGCCGACGTAGGACACTTGGACAGGGGCTTTAGCCTTGCCCTTGGCCTTGGAGACCGTGGTGACCGTGCAGCTGTACCATCTTTCCTCGTACTCGACCAAGACCCTCATCCCAGGCTCGAGGCCAGAATAGTCGTAGCCTTTCGGCGCTTCAGCCGCTGCCGCCTTCTTCGGCGCCGCCTTCTTCGGGGCCATGGCGCTGTGTGCTGATGGCGCGCACTGGCTGTGGTCCCTGGGCGAGCTGAGGCGACTTGAGCTGAGGTGTCTAAGAACGGAGGTAGATGAGGCAACCCGTGTGCTCGGTGCCGCCAAGCTGCCCTGGTCAGAGGTGCGGTACAGCCCAGCACTGGCATAAGAAAGTATCGCACAAGAAATCAGACTATCAACTGGCGAATTTGGTGGAGATGGCTGATAGCTCCCTCCTCTTCGCCATCACGATATTGTTTGTGCTGGTAGGCACCCCTCTCAGCCTCGCCCCCTTGCGTGCTCCCCCGCGTAGAACTGGATGCCACTGTTCTGAACCCCTGGGACACGGTGACCCTCGCGGGCCTCTCAGCCATTGGGGGTCGTTCGGGTCGATCCAGGCACACCCGGCACGCTCCCAGCGAGGCACAGCCGCTGAAGGCATCCCGAGGCTGGGAAAGCGCTTGTAACCGACGACGACGTCGGAAAACCTCAAACCTCGAGTCGATGCAGAGGGGCACGGGTGCAGGAGAGCCCAGAATCGAATCGAGAAGTCGGATCGGCAATCGAATTAAATCGGATCGGGGGAAATCGGCACCCGAGTCGAGAAAAATCGAATCGGCCGAAATCGGCCGGCTAGCAGGCCTCCTTTGAGACATCGGAGCCCGAATCGGAATCCGACGTCGAATCGAATCGGAATCGGAGGCCACCGAAATCGAATCGAATCGAATCGGAGGAATCGAAATGAGCCCTGCGGGTGCGGGGAGAGGCGGGGATTGGTGGGGAGCAAGCGGCACCGCTGCAGCCTGCGGGCCGCACACGAGAGGCTCGCGCCCCGTGAGCCCTGGGCACCGGTGCGCCCCTTGCGCGGGCTGCCGCAGCTCGTGTCGAGGAGAGGTGCCTGGCCCCGAGGCCGAGCCTGTCACGGCGCTCGGAATGCGCGGTGCCCGCTGCACGAGCACGGTATTCCGAGCGCCGCCCTCCTCCTCCGCCTCCTCCTCCTCCGCCTCCTCCTCCTCCTCCGCCTCCTCCTCCTCCGCCACCTTGAATGCTTCAATGCATTTGGAAACGATAGGCCAAGCAGACCGCACCTCCCCTCAGGCTCCAGGAAAACGAAGCTCATGCACCAGTAGGTACACGAAGAAGCCGAACGCAAACCAAACTGGCTCCACGACATTGATACCAGGAAGCTGCGCCTTCGGGCACTCGGCCAAGCCAGCCACATACAATACGAGTATCACATGTTGAAAACGCCAAGCCGCCGCGAAACAGCTGCTCCGACGCCAACAGAACAAGGAAGAAGACGCGGCCCACGCGCCAGTTGATGAAGAACCGCCGCCGACTATACCAGCACACTACGCCATTGACACCCGAGGGCCACAGCCTCCTGCAGAATCACATGCTGATGAGCTTGAGGTAAGTGGCAGCCCACCAATGGCAAGCCTCAAGAAGAACTCCACCGACACGCTGGGAACCCGTGACGGCGGAGCTGAGCTGTGGATTGGCACCAGGAAGCCACACACACACACATCAGCCTGGGAACAAGTGACCCGCGGGCGCCGACGACGCTGCGGCCACATACTACCCCAAAAGCCAAACTCCACCTTCGTAGAATCCAAGAGTCAGGCCCGAGCGAGCACCAGGAACGCAAATCCAGTACGTCATACTTGGCGAATAACCACCCATCCAACCACCAACCCATGGTCTGCCCCGTTCGATGGGGGAACAAGATGACAGAGGGCAAGGCGCCCAAATAGATGACAATGACACCTGCGTGCCCCGACCATGGTGAGCAGCAGAGGCCACGCACAGCAAGTGCACCAGCGATACCTCTCCGTAGCGAATTTGCCTGGCGCTCACCGAAGACGAGAACTGTAACCTCGACCTCGGCGCTCAAGTAAGCAGAGCCTTTTCTGGTTCAGCCCCGGGGCATTACGGCGCAGGCGGCTAGGTCGTTCCAACCTGACTGGCCTGAGACGAGATGGTAGATGAGCCAAAACTGCTACGGCACTCCTCCTCCTCCTCCTCCTCCTCCTCCTCCTCCTCCTCCTCCTCCATCCTCCTCCTCCTCCTCCCACCTCCTCCCCATCCTCCCTCCTCCTCCTCCTCCTCCTCCTCCTCCTCCTCCTCCCTCCTCCTCTCCTCCTCCTCCTGCTCCTCCTGCTCCTCCTCCTCCTCCTCCCTCCTCCTCCATGCCGCACCCGATGACGTGTCAGTAGGGCGGGCCGGGCGTTTCGCCTGAGACTTCCTCACCATGTTTAGATCCTGAAGCTTGAACTGTTCAACAGTTTGAAGGATGGAGGGCGGGTCGTTTTCTAAATGTGGCCCTCGCCTTTGCGCCGCGTACCTTCGTCTTACCTTTCGTCGCTTTCAAAATGTGACTCTCTCGCCTTAGCGCCGCACACACTCGCCTTCAAAGATTGCAGCAGTTTCAAAAGTGTGGCTCTGGCCTTAGCGCTGCGCACATTCGCCTTAAACGCCTGCAACACCTTCAGGGATGGAGGGCGGTTCCTTTACAATATGTGGCTCTCGCCTTAGCGGCGCGCACATTCGTGTTAAACGTTGGCAGAAGTTTGCAGGATTCGTATGGTTGAAATCCCAGGAATGGTGTTATGGCACGACCTACTACTGTCAGGACGCAACAGGATCATATATTCTCGGTGTTGACGCCCCAAGAATGGCATTCAGGTGCGATTTAGGATTGTCAGGACGCAACAGTCATGCCGACTCGCGGCGCTTAAATTTCAAAACTGGCGGTTTGGAACGATGAAGGATTATCAGACGGTTGTCCTCCAATGGGGGACTTCCCGCAATGAAAATGAATATGTTAGGGACCTACGAACAAGGAACTTGGAGGGAGGGTTGGTTGCCACATCTTTGATGCTTCTTGGGTCTACACTGGTCCTCCTCCTCCTCCTCCGCCTCGTTCTTCTCCTCCTCCGCCTCCTCCTCCTCCCCATCCTCCTCTCAAGACACGTTTTTCACCTCGGGCCGTTCCCTCGAGGCCCGGGACCCGAAAACAGCCCTCGGAGGCCCATGCTGCGAAGAGACGCGCGTCGACATTTTGGTTCGGCGCCCAGGAGCCTGGGGAGCTCCCTCTCCCCCACCCGTCGCCCCCCCACTCACGGTCTCCTCTGCGGCGCACCCCGGGCTCCGCACATCTCGAATCGAGACATCGAATCGGGCTCGGGACGTGCGTCGGATCGGACCGCATCGGCACGGAGTCGAAAGCGCATCCGCATCGGACCGGCCGCGCCAGGATGCACAGCAGCGCCACGCAGGCACCGGGCCGCATGGGCTCGTCGGAGTCCGGAACGGGCGTCGGGCCGGACCGATCGGGTCGGAGTGGGCCCTGGCCTTCGCCCCCTCCCACGAGGCTCATCCAAGGCACGCACCCGCGCCCTGCGCGGCCAGGGAAAGAAGCGCACGGCACCGCGAAACATCCACGACCAGAACCCTCGGCGTCGACACCGCGGCGAAAGCTGAATCCCACCAGCCCTTTGGGCTAAGGTGGTCGTGCGGTATCCTTCTTTCCTCACCCAAAACCCTCTTCCCCTCGGGGAGGGGTGCCCTCCCCCTCCACTCCCTCAGGTCACGATGTGCCAGAGGGTCCTTTTGGCAGGAGCCGCACTGTGTCAGAGGGTCATTCTCCGCCCGAGATGGCTCCAGCAGGGTCTCCGATGCTCCGAGATGACCTCCGAGGCGGCTAAAGATAGCAGACGATAGTCCACGATAGCTTCCGACATACAGTCCGGCCTAGGCCAATTCAACATCCCTCAAGGAAGAACATGAGACCCTCCGTCGGTCAAACCAAGAAGAACTTTATTAAGGGTACCCTCCCCAGGGTGCACAACAACATCCAACAAGCACGAAGAATATTAAGGCACCCTCCCCGAAGCCACCTCGATCTTAGACCTCGGTCCGACTGTACCTCCAAGAGGCCCGACGAGGGCCACAAGACGATCCCACGAGCTCTCGGAGCCCCCTCGGGAGCCCCTCCTCGCGCCACCCCACCGTGCGCGCCGCCAGAAAAATTGACGGGAGGAGGACGCTCCGCTCCTGTGGGCTCGTCCCGGCGTGTTCACCAGGCTGCACCTAAGGAAAACCAATGATGCGTGCCTTCTCGCCTTTTCACTTCCAATGCGCTTTTCAGGCCTCAAGATGGACCCAAGATAGCCCAAGAGAGGCCCAAGAGGGGCCGAAGAGGCGCCCCAGACGACCCCAAGAGCGCCCAAGAGCGGCCCAAGAGAGCCCGAAAAAAACGACTGTGATGGCGCCAGGAGGGGAGGGAAATCGGGGACCCCCCCCCGCTGATCGACGCCCTACAAGATGGCCCCAAGAGGCCTTAAAGGGCTCCGAAGAAGGCCCCAAGAGAGACCCAAGAAGGCCCCAAGAGGGCCCCAAGAAGGCCCCAAGAGGGCCCCAAGAGGCGGTTTGCCTCCTCCTCCTCCTCCTCCTCCTCCTCCTCCTCCTCCTCCTCCTCCTCGTCCTCCTCCGCCTCCTCGTCCTCCTCCTCCTCCTCCTCCTCCTCCTCCTCCTCCTCCTCCTCCTCCTCCTCCTCCTCCTCTTCCTCATGTTTCTCCAGTTTCTCCATGACAGACCAGATCCCCAACCAACGAGCGACGAACATATGGCCCTGAGTGGGAGGCGACGGCGCGCCTGGGAGAGAACGGGCCAGGCCTCCTCCTCCTCCTCCTCCTCCTCCTCCTCCTCCTCCTCCTCCTCTCCGCCTCCTCATCCACCTCCTCCTCCCCCCTCCTCCTCCTCCTCCTCCTCCTCCTCCTCCTCCTGCTCCTCCTCATCCTCCCCCTCCCCTCGCCCCCCCGCGAGCCCCAGGAATTGCCCGAAGAGACCCTCCAAGGCCACCCCCTTGCTCCCAGAGATTTCTATCTTCATCCTGGTTACCCGCTTTGTTTTACTATATGTGTTTCTTCGTCCCTTATCCGTCAGCTCTCATGGGCAACGTTTCTGAACGTGCTGGTGGGGATACGCGAAGCTTGAAGAAGTATGGT